AAAACTCACATAGCCAGAGCCAGCCACCTCCTTACTGAAGCAAAGGGAAGTGATAAGCCTGTGGGGAGGTGAGAAGAACAAGGAAAAGATGTCCTTCACAAGGGGTTCTCCTTTCCTTTCTGAATGTACTGGCAATATCACCAATGCTGGAAGTAGGGAGGGATCCAAACTTGTCCAAATTTGGAAGCTGCATGGCTAGCTGCATGACTGCTTCACGAGTGTAACCCGAGGGATCTACAAGACTGTATATATAGTGATTGGCCCATATGGCCATGCAGGTAGGTGAGACCTTCTCTGGCAGGGCTGAGGCTGGCTTCTCTGCCCAAGTGATACGCTGATATACTTCAACTGCTAAAAGAGGCTGAGACCCATGCAGTCTGGTCCTGGTAGTGGTGTGGCAAACAAACCTACTCAAGAGCCATTTCACCATCCACTCTCAGGCACACTGCAGCTGCAAGACTGTTCTTCCTGACTCCCTGGATGGCACCTAGCCCTAGCCTCAGCTCTGTAGAAACAAAAGTATCGCTATCCTCCATAGGACTTAAACTAGATATAGAGTTTCAAAACATAATGTTAAAGTATTCAGGATTCAATCCAAAATTCTTTGACATACAAAGGACCATAAAATCACAACTGACGTGAGAAGAGACAATCAATAGACAAGATGACACAGATATCAGAATCATACAACGAAGACAAGACATCCTTTATAACAATGCTCAAATGAGCAATCATGAATGCTCTTGAAACAAATGTTAAAACGAACATTATTAGCAAGGAGAGAGATATAAGGAAGAATTGAAAGGAAGTTTTAGAACCAAAAATTAGAATAGTCATACAAAAAAAATAATAATGGACTTAACAGCAAGCAGAATGGAGGCCTGGGACAGAGGAAAGAATCAGTGAACTAGAAGATAGACAAATAGAAATTAATCTGAACAAAAAGAAAAAATATTGAAAAAAAAGAACAAATCCTCAAGCATCTGTGAGACAACAAAAGGTCTAATATTTGTGTCACTGGAGTTTGAAAGAGAAAGAGTGCAATGCAGAAAAAATTTTTTTGAAGAAATGATGGCTAAAAACTCCTCAAGCTTGGTGAAAGACAAACTTACATATTCATGAAGGTGAGCAAACTGCAAACAAGATAAACAAAGAAATCCATGCCCAGACATATCATATTCAAATTGTTGAAAACTAAAGATAAAGAAAAAATCTTACAAGTAGCCAAAGGAAAAAGAATGCATTACTAATAGGGGATCATTAATGATTCACATGACTGTGGATTTCTCATTGGAAGCCATGAACGGCCAGAAGGAAGTGGCACGGTACTTTTAAAGTACTAAAAGAACCGTCAACCTGGAGTTCCATATACAATAAAAATATCATTTAGGAATAAAGGTAAAATAAAATATTCTCAGATTAAGGCAAACTAATATAATTCATATCCAGATGATCTGCTTTAAAAGAATTGATAAAAGAAGTTCATCAGATACAAGGGAAATGACGCAGGAAGGAAACAGGACATTGGAAAGGAATAGTAACAGAAATGGTGAATTTCTGGATTAATATAGCAGACTATGCCCCTCCAGAGTTGTTTAGTTTTTTTTTTTGGTTGGAGTCTCACTCTGTCACCCAGGCTGGAGTGCAGTGGCATGTTCATGACCACTGCAGTCTTGCCCTGCTGGGCTCAGGCGATCCTTCCGCCTCAGCCCTCCAAGTATCTGGAACTACAGGTGCATGCTATCATGCCCAGCTAATTTTTTAATTTATTGTAGAGATGAGGTCTTGCCAAGTTGCCCAGGCTGGTCTAGAACCCCTGAGCTCAGACAATCTTCTCACCTCGGCCTCCCAAAGTGCTGGAATTACAGGCTTGAGCCACCGCACCCAGCGTCCCTCTAGTTTTAAAAATGTCTGATGGCTAAAAGTAAAACACAGCATTGATGGAATTTTCAATGCATACAGATGTAATATGACAGCTATTGTATAAAGAGGGAAGAAAACAGGATCTATGTGGTAGCAGGGTCTCTACATTCCAATTGAAGTGCTAAGAAAATCAACTCTAAATATATATTTTGAGCTGGGTGTGGCGGCTCACACCTGTAATTCCAGTACTTTGCTAAGGCAAGAGGATTGTCTGAGCCCAGGAGTTTGAGATAAGCCTGGGCAATGTGGCGAGAACTCATCTCTGCAATAAACAAAAAAGGTAACTGGGCATGGTGACATGTGCCTGTAGTCCCAGCTGCTTGGAAGGCTGAGGCAGAAGGATCACCTGAGCCTAGCAAGTCAAGGCTGTGGTAGCTGTGATTGTGCCACTGCACTCCAGACAGGGCGACAGAGTGAGACTCGGACTAAACTAAAATGAAAACTAAAATGAAATAAACATACATAGATATGTGTATGTGGGTGTGTATAAATATATATAGTAATCCCTAGAGCAACCACCAAAAAATTTTACAAAGAAAGTAAAAATCATCATAGCTAAATTAAAATGGAATACCACAAAGTGTTAAATAAGCCAAAGAAGGCAAGAAAAGAAAGAGAATGAAAAAGAGAAAAGCAGAAGACAAATAATAAAATGGTAGACCTAATTTCAAATGTATCAGTAATCGTACTGAATGTAAATTATCTAACCATACCAATTAAAAGACATATTGACAGAGGGATAAAAAATATGACCTGACTATTATGCTCTCTAAAAGAAAAATCACTTCAAATATAATTATGTAGATAGACTGAAAATAAAAGGATGGAAAAACACATACCATGCAAATGTTAATGAAAAGGAAGCTGGAATCTAGTATCAGGCAAAGATTTCAAAGCAAAGGAAATTACCAGGGATGAAGAAAGAAATTGATAGATGGGTAAATTCACCAAGAAGATATAAAATGTGTATATACCTAACAAGAGAGCTTCAAATAAGTAAGTAAATAAATAAATGGAAAGAGACTAGGCGCAGTGGCTCATGCCTGTAATCCCAGCACTTTGGGAGGCTGAAGTGGGAGAATTGCTTGAGCCCAGGAGTTCGAGACCAGCCTAGGTAGCATAGCAAGCCCTTGTCTCAACAAAATAAAAATAAAAATATTAGCCAGGCATGGTGGTGCACTCCTGCAGTTCTAGCTACTTGGAGGCTAACACAGAAGGATTGCCTCAGCCCAGGACGTCAGGGTGTGGTAAGACATGATCATGCTACTGCACTCCAGTCTGGGGACAGAGAGAAACTCTGTCATAAATTAATTAATTAAATTGAAAGACATATTGTGTTCACAGATTAGAAGGATTAACATGGCAAAGGTCATTTCTTTCCAAATGCATTTACAGATTTAATACAATATAAATCAAAATTCCCGCAGGATTTTTTTTTTTTTTTTTAAGATATAGACAAGTTGATCCTACAATTTACAAGGAAGGGCAAAGGAACTGAACTAGCTAAAGCAATTTTGAAAAAGAATGAAGTTGGAGGAATCACACTACCTGATTTAAGACTGACTATAAAGCGACAGTAATCAAGACAATGTGTTATCGATGAAGCAATAGGCACACAAATTAAGGAAACATAGTAGAGAATCCAGAAATTGAGTCACAAAAATATAGCCATTTGATTTTTTTGATAAAGGTACAAAAGAAAATCAAAAGAAAAAGCAATGCAACATAATCAGAGTTGGGGATACTGTGGTGAACAAATCAAAGACTAGATACAAATGGCCAATTCAATGAAACTGGAATTGGTGGGTGCACCTGGAATACTAACTCTGATACATAATGTAACACAATACACTTATTCAGGATAAAGTTTCTAAGCTAATAGGTCAAGTCAATAAAGAAGTCTTCTGTTCTTGACAAACCTGATAAGAATTTAATCTTTTTATTTATTGTCATAAAAAATTAATCCACACAGAAAACAGATCACCTTTTATTACGTCATGTTAATTTTGGCCATGTGTCTAAAGTACTGTTAGACAGTAACATGATCAGCTCTTTGATGAAAAATAAGTAGAGCAAAGGAGAACAGACAATCTCAAAGTGTTTAACAATAATATAATTGTTTCTGTTATTATTCAAATAACCTCATGAACTTTCTTTGAAGAAACTGGCACTGTAGCTTCACCACAGTTAGGCTATATAAAACACAGATATTACAATGTACAGCTTTCTGAGTCCATGTTTTAAACATCAGTTCAAAAACCCAGAAAGTGAGAAAGAGAAAAGATGATAAAAATAAAATTCTGAAATTTGTAATCATAGGCAACATAAAGAGTAGAATTAAAAAGAATTCTTACAGACTATAATGTGTACAACAAGACACACTCACTTGGTTTGTACTTAAGTTACAAGGCCTAATAACACAGTGAGTACCTATGAACTAACCATGCAACCGAATAGCTAGACAATCCCAAGGATTCATACCTATACCTAAGAGTCCTTCCCCTATTTCATCCCTCTGTCTCACTTTCTCAAACTCCCACCTTTGTGAAATTATCACTGCCCTTTTTGTGTCATTGTTAAGAAGGGAATACTGGGAATATTTTCAAGGATAAAATTAGTGCAAACTCATCTTGAGTAGAAAAACTAACTTATATCTATGCCCTATTCATACAGCACGACAGCAAGCAGCATCCCTGCTGCTATGAAACCTTAAATTGAACGTCATCCCTATTAAAAGTATAAGTTACTTAGCAGGCATAATGGTGCATACCTGTAATCCCAGCTACTTGGGAAGCTAAGGTGGAAGGATCACCTAAGCCCAGCAGGATGAGCCTGTAGTGAGCTGTGATTGGGTTCTCTAGCTTGGGTAACAAAGTGAGACCCCGAATCCAAAAAAAAAGCGTAATTTATATTACTCTCTTAAAGTCTTCACACAACTGATTTTTATGTGGTTTCACTCTCAAATATTGTTACCTGGATCAAAATAAGCCTAATTTTTTCAACTTCTGAAAATAAAGGTGTATAAGCATATCATTTTTACAAATAACTCAAGTTTAAATTACTTATAAGCAACTTACCTCATGTAAATTTAGTTCTTTTACTTTCTCTTTTAATATAACCTGTAAGACAAAAAAGTATGTTCTTATGCACATCTGAAATTTAAAACATTTCTCACTATACTCACAAACTAGTCAGTATTGGAGAGAATCTCTTTTACAATTTCATACAGAAACTTTAGCAACATTCTTTTAACTTGAGCCATGATGCAATATTCTCCTAAAAAGCAATCTTAAAATACCTTTGAGAGTAGATTAAATTTTGAGAAAAGACATTAACACACACTCTTCTGGACTAAGTGCTAATAAGGGGTAAAAATAAATGATATCAATTGCCTCAAGATTCAGTAAAACGCAGGACTGACTGATGGGACTGCTGAATAGTAACTTATAAAAGATTAAAAGGTAAAGTCAATTTAATTTTGGAAGCTTTGCTTATTATTATGCATCATTGTTCTAGTAATGTCTTTTAGCTCTATCCAGAGTTATGTCAGTGGGCTAAAAATTCATCCAAGTCTTATTCCTAACCTGACCTAGTGAATGCTAAGTGATAAGAAGGCATATTACTATTTACAGAGAAATCTGAGACTAAACATTGCTTACTAGAGTTATATTTTATCTTAAAATTAAAAAAAGGCAAGTAAAAATTGAGAAAAATCTCTACATTTTTGAGTGTCTTATAATCCTGAACAAAAAATAGTTTTGAAAACAAACCATATTTCAGAAATCATAGCTAGAAGTTACTATCTAGCTACATAGGGATATACTAATTTCTTAGTACATTTTCAATAAAAATTTACCATCTTGACTTGACTAGTTTTATCAGTCAATTTCACCTACTAAATGACTACAAAGGTCAATTTTACTTTCTAGTTAGCCTACATACAAATATCCTGTAGGCTATCAAGATGATATTAGATAGAACTGAGATAAAAAGATTCATTTTCATTTAGAAAATGGAAACATTCAGCTCTGATTATGAATCTCACATGAGACCTATAAGGAACAGTGTGGGTCACCTACAGATACCAATGTATACATCTAACTTGAAGAAGAAAGCAGGCATGTGGTGAGTCACACCTGTAATCCCAGTACTTTGGAAGGCAAAGGCAAGAGGACTGCCTGAGCCCAGGGGTTTGAGACCAGCCTGGGCAACCTGGTGAGACCTCATCTCTACAATAAAGAAAGAAATTAGGCGGGGCTCGGTGGCTCAGCCTGTAATCCCAGCACTTTGGGAGGCTGAGGTGAGTGGACTGCCTAAGTCTACGAGTTCAAGACCAGCCTGGGCAACTCGGCAAGACCTCGTCTCTACAATAAATAAAAACAAAACTACCCAGGCGTGGTAGCATGTACCTGTAGTTCCAGCTACTTGGAAGGCTGAGCCAGAAAAACTGTGGAGCACAGCAGGTTGATACTGGGGTGGCTGTGAGCATGCCACTGCGCTCCAGCCTGGGTGACAGAGTGAGACTCCAATTAAAAAAAAAAAAAGCCGGACATGGTGGTGCGCACCTGTAGTTCCAGCTACTTGGAAAGACTGCCTGAGCCCAACAGGTCAAGGCTGTGGTAGCCATGCGCTTGCCACTGCACTCCAGCCTGGGTAGCAGAGTGAAACTCTGGGAAAAAAACCAAAAAACAAAAAAGAAACAAATCAATGAAGGGATAGGTGTTAACAGCTATAATCCAAGTTTGTAGATTTCTAGTAGATAATATGAGCTAACATTTAAAGAACATAAGGGAGTGGATGAGATCACTGTAACACAGCTGGTCATCTCTGAGGAACTGATATGTCTTCTAATAAAGAAGGAGGGAAAAAATTCACTTAATGGCATCTCTGAACTCCATTAGGCTAACAGTAACCTTAAGGATTACAAGCTACAGCATTTCTCTTCAGCAAAATGGCTCAAGTTTCCTCTTAAGTCATCTGAATTTTCTACAGTTCACACAATAAGAAAGAAGGATACTTAAAATGATTTTGTGCTGCAAATTGGCAGTGAAATGCTAAATACAAGTAAATCCATTTCCAGTTTAAATTATGAGTTGAAATCTGACTTCTCAGTTTTTTGGGAAAAAACATAAAGCCAATCAGAATTAAATTTCTCACCTGTTTGTAGGCATAAAATTCTTTGTGTGCTTGATGTCTTAGCCTAAAAGACAGAAGTAATGAGATATTGAGTTTTTCAACATAGTAACTTGAAAAAAATAAAAAGCTGATTTTTGGTATTAATTTATATAACTTATAATTCAAATAATATAAATTAGAATCTTTATCCTGGAATACACCCAAATGACATATCTCTTACCATGTTGTGAGTGAACCATGAAATTTTTTTCTTTGAGTATGAATCTCACTCTGTTGCCCAGGCTGGCATGCAGTGGCAGCCTCAACCCGCTGGCTCAGGGAATCCTTCTGCCTCTGCCTTCCAAGGAGCCAGAACCACAGGTACACACTACCGTGCCCAGCTAATTTTTTGATTTATTGTAGAGACAAGATTTTGCCAAGTTACACAGGCTGATCTTGAACCCCTGGGCTCAGGCAATCCTCTCGCCTTTGCCTCCCAAAGTGCTGGGATTGCAGGCGTGAGCCACTGCGCCCGCCCAAACCATGAAATGTTACTCAAATATAAGTAATAGTGAAATCTGATTAAAGCAAAAATCTCAATAAGCAGATATTTTAATAAAGATGACTCAATTCTTTTTATATTGATCGATAGTCTACTTGTTTCAGTAATATTTTTCTTAATTATAAAAATTGAGTATAACATACATTCAGTGAAGTATAAAAACCTTAATATAAACCCCAAATTTAAAAAGATGTATAAACCAATATAACTATCACCCATATCAAGATATAGTACATTTCCAGCACCCCGAAGCCTCTAACATGACCTCTCCCCATCAATATCCACCCCTCCACCAGAGGTAACACTATTCTGATTTCTATCACTGTAGATTAATTATGCCGGATTTGAACTTCATGTAAATGGATCCTTTGGCATACACGCTTTTGTCTTTGGCTTCTTTCAGTCTACAATGCCTTCCTTCATCCATGATTGCTGCAGTAATTGTTTTCTTGACTAACATACAATATACTATTGTATAAACATAATACAACTTTACTTGTCCGTTCCACTGTTGATAAATATTTAGTATGCTTCCTGTTTTGGGCTATTATGAATAAAGTTGCTACACAAATTCTTCTACATGTCTTTTATGGACATGGAGACTCGTTTCTGTTGAGTATATACTTAGAAACAGAATTGTTGATTCAAAGCGCTTGTACCAATTTCTACTCCTATGGGTAGTTCACGAGAGTTCCAGCTGTTTACATCTTTGCCAAAGCATGGCAGATTCATTTAAAACTTTTCTTAAATGAAGTCTAGTTTATCAACTTTTCCCAGTTAGGTCAGTCCTTTTTATGTCCCATTAAAGAAATCTCTGCCCACTCCAAGATTATAAAGATACTCTCCTGAGTGTTTTGTAAAAACAATTTGTTATTTTACCTATCAAATGTATGTCTATCTGATAAGCATGTTGACTCTGCTTGTATAATCCCAGCACTTTGGGAGGCGAAGGCAGGATTGCTTGAGCCCTGGAGTTCAAGACCAGCCCAGGCAACATAGCAAGACCTTGTCGCTACAAAAAATAAAACAAATTAGCAAGGCCTGGTGGCACATGCCTGTAGTCCCAGCTACCCGGGAGGCTGAAGAGGGTAGATCTCTTCAGTTCAGGAGTTTGAGGCTGCAGTGAACCATGATTGTGCCACTACACTCCAGTCTGGGTGACAGAGTGAGAACCAGACTAAAGAAAAAAAAATGTAGGTCTATAATCCATCTGAAATTGGTCTTTATCTATGCTGGGAGGTAGGGGGCAAGATTCTTTTTATCCCCATACAGATTTTTATTTGCCTCGTCATCATTTATTGAAAAGTCCCTCCTTTCCCTACTGCATTGCAGTGGCAGGTCTGTTGTAAATCAGGTGTATCCAATATGTGGGCCTATTTCTCGAGTTGTTATTCTGTTCTACTGGTCTATGTGCCTATCCTTATATATTGACTGGTTGAATTATATCCCCCCCAAATTCATGCCCAACTGAACCCTCAGAATATAAACTTATTTGGAAATACGGTCTTTTCAGATGAATTAGTTAAGGTGAGGTCACACTGGATCAATGTGGCTATCTGCTACATCTAATTTGTGCCAGAATCTAATTTGGCTGGTGTCTTTAGAAGATGAGAAGAGAAAATGCAGAGATGCACACAGAAAAGAAGGCCATGTGAAGACAAAGGCAGAGACTGAAGTGATGTAGCTACAAGCCAAGGAATGCCTAGGATTACTAGCACCCATGGGAAGCTAGGAAGGGGCAAGAAAGGACCCTTCAGAGGAAGCATGGTTCTGTTAGCACTTTGATTCTGAACTTTTTTCTAGCCTCCACCACTGTGAGAGATTACATTTCTGTTGTTTTAAGTTGCCCAATTTGTGGCACTTTGTTATAGCTATACCTTGTGTCAATACCATGCTATTTAAAAAATTTATTTTGAGCCGGGCTCGGTGGCCCAGCCTGTAATCCCGCGCCTTTGGGAGGCTGAGGTGAGTGGATTGCCTGAGCCCATGGGTTCGAGACCCACCCGGGCAACTTGGCGAGACCTCATCTCTACAATAAATCAAAAAAAAATTAGCTGGGTGTGGTAGTGCACGCCTGTAGTTCTAGCTACTTGAAAGGCTGAGGCGGAAGGAGCGCCAGAGCCCAGCAGGTCGAGGCTGCGGTGCACTCCAGTCTGGGCGACAGAGTGAGACTCCAACTCAAAAAAAAAAAAAAATTTATTTTGAAATAATTTTAGACTAACAAAATTTATAAACAATAGAGCTTATGTATACTTTTCTACCAGCTTTCCCTATGTTGACATTTTATACAACCATATTACAATGATCAAAACCAGGAAATTCGCATTGATATATTGATATCAATACTGGTATAACATTGATACACTATTAAGTAAACTACAGGCCTTATTTGAATTTCACCAGTTTTTTTCACTCATGTCCTTTTCCTGTTCTATGATCCAGTCCAGAATCCCATTGTGCATTTAGTTATAGTTATATCTCCTCTAATCTGGTGACAGTTCCTCAGTCTTTCAAGATTTTGACATATCAACAATGATCACTTGGTTAAGATAGTGTCCACTGGTAACTGATCAATATTTTGGGGGAGATATGTTGAAACTATGTAGGTATCTTATTTTTTTTTCTTAAGTTTTTGCCCACTGATTTTAACACACATCTTGCTTGCAACAATTACTGTAGTGTTTGCCTAATGGTGGTTTTGTAGTTCCCTAATTCCTTATACATTTAAATAACTAAAATTCTTCCAAAAGGAAGAGATGTCCTCCCTCATTTACTTATGCAATTATTTATTTGTGTCAGTAGAAACTCATGGATATTTATTTTAGTGTAGGGTTTACAGTTCAATATGATACTATTTGTTGCTCAAATTGATTTAGGCTTGGTCTTTAGTCTTCAGGTTGACTCCTGTGTCCTATCAACATGCTCCCAAACTTTTCCACGTATTCCCCTTATTTACTGGCATCAAAAGATGCTCGAGCTCTGGAGCTAATTACTTATTCCAAGGAACCCTATTCCTTTTATTGGAGATTAGCATTTAGAAACTGAGATCTGGATGCTTGGTTAACATAACTGTTTTAATAGCTATGGTTTTACAACAGGTCTTAGAGTCTGGTAGTAAGTCCTAAGTTTTGTCCTTCTTAATGACTGTTTTGGCTATTCTTGGTATTCTGCTTTGCCATATAAATTTCACAAGTCTGTCAATTTCTACCAAAACAAACAAACAACAACTCCCTCCCCCCCGTTGAGGTTTTGAGTGAGAATGTATGAAATTTATAGATCGATTGGGGAAGAAATAATATCTTTGCAAAACTAACCTATGAACATATTCTCTATTTAGATCTTCTCCAATTCTCCTTTATATATATTTGTCCTAGGTACCTGGTAATTTTTGATGCTACTATAAATGGTATTTCCTTTTTTTCATTTTCTAATTTTCTTGCCACTCTATAGCAAAAAGCAATTTTTGTATATTGATTCTGTATATAGTGACTTGTTGATTTATTAATTCTTAATAGTTTACCTATAGAATCTTTTGGATTTTTTTAATGTACACAATTATTTGTCCATAAATAATGACAATTTAAACTCTGTCTTTAAAAAATCTTTATAGCTGGGCTCGGTGGCTCAGCCTGTAATCCCGTACCTTTGGGAGGCTGAGGTAAGTGGATTGCCTGAGCCCACGGGTTCGAGACCCGCCTGGGCAGCGAGAACTCATCTCTACAATAAATCAAAAAATCAGCCGGGTGTGGTAGTGCATGCCTGTAATTCCGGCTACTTGGAAGGCTGAGGTGAAAGAATCACTGGAGCCCAGCAGGTCGAGGCTGCAGTGGCCGGGAGCAGCCACTGCACTCCAGTCTGGGTGACAGAGTGAGACTCCAACTCAAAAAAAAAAAAAACGAAACAAAACTTTATAGACTTTACTTTTTTCTTTCTTGCACTGGCTAGCCCCTCTGCATGAAAGTGATAGTGAAATATCTCTATCAATATATTACCATTAAGTATGCTGTTTTTAGTCCTTTTGTAGATTCCCTGGATCAAATTAAAAAATGTTCCCTTCTAGTCCTTGTTTTACAAAAAAATCAGAAATAGCTACTAAATTTTGTCAATGCTTTATTATGTTTTTTCTTCCTTTATAAACTGTTCATCTGTGAAAGCAAATTAAATCTTGGGACAGACAATTATATAAGAGTACCTGGACAAGGTCTTAATAAGGTAGAAAAATAAATGAGGATAATTTTCTCTTATAGAGTAAAACACCTCAGAAGTAGACAAAATTTACAATTATATAAAAGTGTTTTATATAAGTGGCACGCTGTCTTGGGACAGACAATTATATAAGAGTACCTGGACAAGGTCTTAATAAGGTAGAAAAATAAATGAGGATAATTTTCTCTTATAGAGTAAAACACCTCAGAAGTAGACAAAATTTACAATTATATAAAAGTGTTTTACTGATTACTAACTCACAGAAGATTAAAATGTTAAGCCACCTTAATTTTTTTTAAAATTATCAATTATCATACTTATGAAATTTTAAAATGAGAATAGAAACTTTATTTATTATTGCTTAACATATTCTGAAGTGACATAGAATGAAAATTGATTACCTAATCAAGTAGCAACAGAAGAGTAAACTAAGAATGAAGACAAATATAGCAGTACCAAAAACCACAATATATATGTTGAGAGGCAGATTCTGGAATCCAATATTAGGCATCCTGAAGTTGTAATGTGGGAAATCCGAGCTCATGGATAAACTGTGGGGGAAGAGAAGAATGGAAAATAATTAGGTATAAAGACCAAGAAACAAGACAGCATTATCGTATATGTATAGAGGCAAAGGTTTTCCAAGGCTTGACCTCATCTGAAACAAATATATGTTAGATAAAGTGTTAATATTTTTACCATTCATTCATTCATCATGCCAAATATGTCCTGAATATTATTTTATCTGGAACTATTCCAGAGACTAGAGAGATCCTATATGAGAAGCTTTGCAAGTTGCACTCATTCACTAAAAGGCATTTCACTGAAATAATGCAATTAAAAAATATATAAAATGTTCAACCTCAGAGAAATGCTAAAGGAAAAGAAGTTTTAAAATTTTCCAAACTCTTTAACCTTTAACTTAATAATGCAATCCTAAGTAGCAATATTTATAATGGTAAAATATTAGAAATAGGCCGGGCGTGGTGGCTCAAGCCTATAATCCCAGCACTTTGGGAGGCCGAGGTGAGAGGACTGCCTGAACCCAGTGGGTCAACGCTGGGATAGCCGTGAGTATGCCACTGCACACCAGCCTGGGTGACAGAGTGAGACTCCGTCTCAAAA